CATATTTACATTTTATACATTATTTATTTCCTTTTCTTTTTCTTTTAAAAATGTGTAGCCCAGGCTGGCCTCGAACTCGTGATCCTCCTGTCTCTGCCTCCTTCAGCAAATCCTACCGGCGTGCGCCACCACAATTGGCTATACATTATTTCTTAATTTTCACCTGCATATATGTTTGTATACCATATATGTGCCTGGTGTCCTGGGAAACCAGAAGAGGTCCCTGCAACTGGATTTGCAGATGATTGTGAGCCACCATGTGGGTGTGGAGAATCAAACTTGCTCTCTGGAACAGTGGTCAGGACTCTTAATCACTCAGCAGTCTCTCCAGATCCCTTTTCTTGCTTTTTTGAAATCTATTTGGTGAAAAATTATCTGCTATCTTTTGTTCATCCATCAAACCTTTACTTCACTTACCTTTCAATATATATATATATAGTCATAGTTATAGAAATCTTGATTTCTTTGGTAAGTTTCACTGCACTTATACCATTTTAAAAACAGCAAAGGTATAGGGAATTAGTTGAATTCCTTGCTGTCATTATTACTTTCCTTCCTTTGCCATTTGCCTTTATATTATAAGAAATCAGAAGAGTGTCCAGACTTTTAGAAATTCTTCTTTTCCTTTGTTGAAGTTGATATGTAGGTGCAGGGTCCTGGCACAGAATTTTCTGTTGGAGATTTTATTTGCTTTATTCTCAGAGATGCCATGGTCTGACCACCAGCTTGTTGGCAGAACTAACCATGGCTGTTAAGTGTGGGTAGACCAACATGTAGAGTGAAGAGAGCTGCATTAATGATATTGAGAATTAGTAAATAAACTTGGATAAGAATTCCAAAGGGTGTATTACATGGTTTATCAGTTGAAATGAAGAAATTAGGAGTTGTGAGTTTTATGAGTGGGTCATGAAGTGAACAATAGATGGTAACCTCCCGTTCAAATAAGGCTCCTTGTATAATACAGTGATTCCACTACTGGGATTTCCAGTCAAACTTATGGCATCTGTGTAGAAGGGATGAGCACAGTCCTGTGCTCATCATGGCTATCTTCGTTACCTTTCTGTTGCCACAACAAAAACCACCACCAAGACAACTTACAAGAGAAAGTTTTGAATTTGGGGTCTCATGACTCTAGACTGTTAGATTCCATGACCACCACGGTTGGGAGCATGGTAACAGGCAGGCAGGCAATATGTTGGAGCAGTAGCTGAGAGCTTGCATCCTGATAGGTAGACACAAGGCAGAAAGAATGAGAGGGAGAGAGAGAGAGAGAGAGAGAGAGAGAGAGAGAGAGAGACAGAACGCTAATAGAGAATGGCCTGTTCTTTTGAAACCTCAAAGCTCACCTGAGTGACATACTTCCTCCAGCAAAGACCACACCTCCTAATCCTTCCCAAGCAGTTTCACCAACTGTGGTCCAGACATCTAAGTATATGAGCCTATGGGGGCTATTCTCATACAGAGAATACCACAGTGGTATTATTATTATTGTTCATATGGCTCATAATACAGCATGTTAATCAGTGCCAAAGTGCCAATCAATCTAAGACTTATCAATGAGTAAGTGTAGAAAGAAAATGTATGTATATATATAAAACACATGGATAATGTATTTATTCACACATATATATGTGACTATAAATAAAATGTGCACACATGTACACACATATATGAAATACCACTTAGCCTTAAAGAAAAAGAAATCATGTCACTTGTTACAACAAAGATAAACCTGCAAGATATTATAGTAAATGTAAGAAGTCAAGTACAGAAAGACAAATGGCATTTATATGTGAGGTTAAATTTTTGAAATTACGTGAATGGGGATTGAAATGATAGATACTAGAGTTTGGGATGTAAAGGAACTCAGAAACACCCGTCAGAAGGCACAACTACTCAGATAGACAAGAGGGATAAGTTCAAGAGGCCTATTGTACACCGTGATGGCTAGAGTTAATAAAAACAATTGCATGTTTGAAGACTAATAACAGAGTAGATTTTTAAGTGGTCTAAAAACAAAGTATATATTGGATAATACTGTGTTAAATGGCTTGATTTAGTCATTTTCCAATGTATGCATATATCAAAAGATTATGTTGTAGATGGTGACAACATACAATTTTACTTGTTATGTTAAATAAAGATTCATAAGAAGACATGAAAACAATCTTTTGTAATGCCTTCCTTCCAAATAAACACATTAATAATCCTCGAGTAGTGTGGTCACCAGGGAATACAGGTTCTTAGTCTTATAGATAATTTACTTTTAATAATTCAATTATTTTAATTGAAAAGCAGACTCAGAAGGAGACTTGGGCACAAATTTTATTGGAGTTTGAGTGAAAATAGCAGAGAGAACAATCAACAGCCAGGTGGAGATCTGCCAGGGGTGGGGAGAAGGCTGAAAGGAGGAAAAAATGGTGATGTTTTTGGAGTTAGAGGTTAAGAAAGCAAAGAGGCTTAGAAAGCCAGCCTGTGGGCAGGCACATGGGGAGAATAGCAATCAGCAAAACAGAGACACGTGGGGTCAGGGCAAGCAGGCTGACAATCAGGGCTGGTATCAGAGAAAGAGAGATACACAGAAAGTAATTATTTCAAGCTGATCAGTCCTAACTAGCTACCTCTCATAGCTATCCACCTACAGTATTAGTGTTTAGACGTGGCCAGAACAGTTCACATTCCTCAATTGGATAGCTGGCTAGCCAATAGGATCCTAGGAAAGAAGGAAATATGAACACAAGGAAGGATAAAGTTAGTTGGAACAGATGGAGATGGGGTTTACATAGGAAAGGACCAGATATAGAAGCTGGAAAAATGGATGAAGCTGGATTGTCCCGGGCCTCAGAGAACAGTAATCTGAATTCTTCTAAAAGTTGTGGAGATGATGGATGAAGCCTCAGCAAAGCAGGAGTGTGATTATCATTGTGATGTACGGAGGTGCAGCACCAGCAGTCATAGGAGAGGGCAATGTTGGCTGCAGGGACAGGGAGGAGAGACTGTGGGGACTCAAGGTGACAAAGCATGAGTAACAGGAACACCTTTTCTTTAGTAATTTTGCTATATTACTACTTCTGCTCCTACTCCTACTATTGATGGGGTCTCACTAAGCAGTCTAGGCTGTCCTGGAATTCACTATGTAGATCAGGATAGCTTCCATTTCACGAGAGTTTCACCCACCTCTGCCTCCCCAGGGCTGGGATGAAAGGCACATACCACCACCAAGTCCATCAGAAGCCCTTGTTTCTAAATAGTGAACTCACTGAAAAGAATCTCCACGGTACAGTAACTCTGTGTTTTGCTCTAGGCTGCTCTCAATGTTCCACTGGTAGACCGTCACTGGACTCACTCACTCTCTATGGGGAGGTTACTAGACCAAGTCAGTAGAGTAGTAACCTTGGGCCAATAACACACATTTAGATCATCTGATGCAAGTGTATGGTATGTTCCTGCCAATATGTCTTCAGTCAATATTTTCACTATTTTCCTTTCCTGAGTAATGCATTTTAAGGTGACTAGAGGCATATCTTTTTCTTTTTTTCTGTGACATATTCTTATAACTTTGATGACTATTGATTCTTGAGTCCAGTATTTGTAGCAGAGGTTACAGCTTGCTGACTGTCATTTTTTTTTAAACTTGCTTTTCTTTTCATCAGTATAATTAGAGTGCTTGGTAAATGCTTTGATGATTTTATCTCAAACCATGACGGTTACACAGGGGACTTAAAGAAGGATTTTTAGAGTATTGGCATTAAAAATGTAACCATTAAAGAAAATTAAAAGTCGATGAATAAAACCAGTGATATTTAGTAGCTGAATAACACTGGTTACTATATTGGAAGGGAAACTTTTAGATTCAATTAGGGTTTGGATTCAATGCTTGAAAGAATTTCTTTAGGTTAAGGCTCTTTAATTTGATCAAGGCAGCAAGCTGAACTTCACAATGACAGACTTATATCAAGCCACAGGAATGAGGTTCAAAAGGGACACCGTGATGAGTAAAATAAGGCCCCATATGAATGACTTGTGATACAGAGTGTTCTTCACGGCTATTGCAGATGAGGAAATGACTGACGGACCAGATCAGAGAGACTTCAGAGGTGGGAAAGGCTGCTCTTCTGGAAATGCCCAATACCAAATCAACCTGTTGTTGTGGAATTTTGAGACTATCTGAATTTAGACGAATTAGAATTGTCTATTTGTGCCAGTTAATCAACACAATTGCATCCCTGTGCTTTTGTTCAGCCAGTGCAATCTGGTTTTCCTCATACTTTATTGTCAGCTCAAATGAGCTTAGTTTTATACAAGCTTAGTCTAGGTTCTCTTGTTGTGTAAGGACTGAACTAATAAAATAGTATATCTGCTCCTTTCATGTTTTGATGATAGAGATAGAACCTAGGGCCTTTTTTTATGATTGAAAAAAAATGTTCTACCATTGGGATATGTCTCTAGGCCCCATTAACTAAAGACAAAACTACTTTAGAGTCCATACAAGAGTATGCTGGCCATGTTAATCCCTCTGAGAATCCTAACACTGCTTCTAATGCCCTCACCTTCCTGAGAGGGTCTGTTGGCTTATTGTGTTGAGAACCTGGAGATGCTCAGATAGGACACTGAAGGCCATCCTGAGGTTGGCCCCTGAGGTAACACAGAACGAAGCACTTTCCTAAGGAAGAGCCTTGGAGACACAGAGTATCTGGGTAATGATAACCATGGCCACCTTCTCTTCAACAGTTAATGTACACCGGTCACTGATTGTCTAACACAATGGCACAATCAGTGAAAACTATGGAGTTAACTACTTGATAAGAGGAACATACTTCTAAATGGACTGGGCTGAGAACAGCTGAGATGGCTCCTCTCTTAGGAAAATAAAGCAATGTTGAAAATCTTTCTCAATTGTTCTTCTGGTCCCCTGGGGCTTTTGGGAACTCCCAATTACTCATTAACTAGAGTAACTTTGTAGAAGACTCTCTAGTATCTAGTTCTTGCTTCTCAGCCCCCTGGACTCCCACAGTGATGATTCCTGTTCTCATCAACAGAGTTCATTTACTTTCAGTTAAATATTTGATACCCTGCATTCTACTAGTTGGGTCCACATCTTGGTATCAACATTTAAAAGGTAAGAGACTTGGGGCTAATCTTATCTTTCTCTGAACTGGCATATAGTTGGTATATGTTTTTTTTAATTTTTTTTGTATATGTTTTTCCTTTTGAAAGATTTTATTTTTATTTAGATGTATGCGTATAAAATATATACGTGTATGTGTGCACACATGTGTGTTTTGATGCCTGTGCAGAGCAGAAGTGAGTGTCAAATTAGTTGAAACTGGAGCTACATGTGATTGTACCTGAAGTGGGTATTAAAAATCGAACTCAAGTCCTCTTTAAAAACACTTTTTTCTTTCTGTTTCTCTTTTAAAAATCAATCAATCAATTAATTAATTTTACACCCCAACTGCATTTCCCCCTCTCTATTCTATTCTCTTCCCCCATCTCTCTTCTGCCCCCTCAATCCACTTTTCCTTTTCTGTTTTTGTTCAGACAGGGACAGGCCTATTATATGTATCAACAAAGCATGGTGTATCAAGTTGCTATAAGACTAAGCACTTTCCTTTGTATTTAGGTTGGGCAAGGCAACCCAGTATGAGAAATAGGTTCCCAGAGCCTTTCAAAGCATTAGGGACAGTTCCTGATTCCATCGTTAGGAGTCCCATAAATAGACCGAGCCACACAACTGTCACATACATGTAGAGGGCTTTGGTTGGTCCCATGCAAGCTCTTTGGTATGATGGTTCCAGATTTTGTGAGTTACTATGAGCCAGGTTAGTTATTTCTGTGGGTTTTCTTGTGATGTCCTTGACCTCTCTGGCTCCTACAATCCTTTCTCTCTCTTTTCAGCAGGATTGAGCTCACCCTAATTAGCTGGGAGTGTCTGTGCCTATTTCTATCAGTAGTTGGATGAAGGCTCTTTGATGACAATTGGGATGGTTACCAATATGATCACAGGAGACAGCCAGCCCAGGGTAGGAATCCACAATTGCTAGGAGTCTTAGCTGAGGTCATTCTTGTAGATTTATGGGAGGTTCCTTCACATATATGTTCTACCCGACCCTGAATATCCCCCCATTCCTTTTAATTATCTTCCTTCACATCCATTTCCCAACCAGATCACTCAAGTTTCCACGTCCACATGCCCCCAGTCCACCCAGGAGATCTCTTCTATATCCCCATCGCAGGGAGGTCCATTTGTCTCTCTTTGGGTCCTCCTTGTTTCCTACCCTCTCTGGTCTGTGGATTGTAGCATGGTTATCTTTTACTTTATTGCTAATATCCACTTATGAGTGAGTACATACCATGTTTGTCTTTCTGGGTCTGGGTTACCTCACTCAGGATGATTATTTTTTCGACTTCTATCTAATACTTTCTAATTTCCTGATGTCAATTAAAAATTTTTTTTAATTGATTTTATTGAGCTCTACATTTTTCTCTGCTCCCCTCCTTGCCTCTCTCCTCCCCTTCAACCCTCTCTCAAGGTTCCCATGCTCTCAATTTACTCAAGAGATTGTCTTTTTCTACTTCCAATGTAGATTAGACCCATATATGTCTCTCTTATGGGTCTCATTGTTGTCTAGGTTCTCTGGGATTGTGATTTGAGGGCTGGTTTTCTTTGTTTTATGTTTAAAAACCACTTATGGTGAGTACATATGATAATTGTCTTTCTGTGTCTGGGTTACCTCACTCAATATGATGTTTTCTAGATCCATCCATTTTTCTGAAAGTTTCAAGATGTCATTTTATTTTTCTGCTGTGTAGTACTTCATTGTGTAAATGTACTACTTTTTTTCTTATCCATTCTTCAGTTGAGGGGCATTTAGGTTGTTTCCAGGTTCTGGCTATGACAAACAATGTTACTATGAACATAGCTGAGCACAAGTCCTTGTGGCATGATTGATCATCCTTTGGGTATATGCCTAAAGGTGATATTGCTGGGACTTGAGGAGGGTTGTTTCCTAATTTTCTGAGAAACCACCATAATGATATCCAAAGGGGCTATACCAGCTTGCATTCCCACCAGCAATGCAGAAGTGGTCTCTTTTCCCCACAGCCTCTCCAGCATAAGTTGTCATCAGTGTTTTTCATCTTGGCCATTCTTTCAGGTGTAAGATGGAACCTCAGAGTTGTTTTGATTTGCATTTCTCTGATGAGTAAGGATGTTGAACATTTCCTTAAGTGTCTTTCAGCTATTTTAGATTCCTCTGTTGAGAATTCTCTGTTTAGGTTTGTACTCCATTTTTTTTACTGGATTATTTGTTCTTTTGATGAACAATTTCTTGAATTCTTTGTATATTTTGGAGATCAGTCCTCTGATGTGGGGTTGGTGAAGATCTTTTCCCATTCTGATGTCATTGTTTTTAACAGCTGAATAATACTACATTGTGAAAATATACAACATTTTCTTTATACATTCTTCAACTGAGGGGCATATAGGCTGTTTCCAGACTATGGCTACTTTGAATAATGCTGCTATGAACATAGTTGAGCAAATGTCCTTGTGGTATGATTGAGCATCCTTTGCGTAAATACCCAAGAATAGTATAGCTGGGTCTTGTGGTCTAATGATTCCCAGTTTTCTGGGAAACCTCCATATTTATTTACAAAGTGACTGTTTAAGTTTACACTCCCATCAGCAATGGAGGAGTGTTTCTTCTTCCTCTACATCCTTTCCAGCAGAAGTTGTTATTTTGTGTTTTGTTTTTAGCCATTTTGACAGGTGTAAGATGGAATCTCAGAGTTGTTTTGATTTGTGTTTTTCTGATGGCTAAGGAGGGTAAACATTTCTTTATGTGTTTCTCTGCCATTTGAGATTATTTTATTGAGAAATATCTGTTCAGATATGTACCCCATTTTTAATTGGATTTTTTCGATGTCTAGTTTTTTTGAGTTCTCTTAATGGCTGAACCAACTCCTCCAGCCCTGTAATGTGTTCCTAAACTGTTATCACCTGTGCGTTTATGAGGTATTTGAGTCTTGTTGTCCTTCAGTGTCCAGTAGAGTCCGTCACACATTTTCCAGTTGTGAGAGAGTTGAGAAACTTTTCTTCTTCATCCCTTGTCTTTTATGTTAAATTAATTCCCAACATTTAGAAATCATGTAAGGTATAATGGAAAGAAATCCATATTTTTCTGCAAGATGGGGGCAGGAGAGATGGGGAAGGAAGTAGGGGTGAATATGAGCATGGTACAAAGCTATATATACATTAAAACATCAGGACAAAACTGAGTGTTTTCTATACTAGATAAAAATACTAACTGAACTCTTGTCTTTGGAATGCTTTGGCAATGCGTAGGATTGACAGTTCTGGGACAATACTTTGACAGGCATTGGGCAGACAGAGCCAGTGTCAGCTCCTTTTTAGAGGGAGCATCTGCTTTTGTTCAGTCCCGGTCCACTGGTTCTGTCTGTTATCATGGCGTTAGAGTTTGCTGTCCCTGACCTATGGTGACCTAAGAATACCTCATTATACATATTATAAAGAGCTTCAGCTGCTCTATGAAAACATTTTAATGCCTGAACTTCACTGCAAGAGTCTTTGTGAATAATGTTTCATTTTTACATCTTTGATTTTGCCTTATCCATGGCAGGCTGAGTCGCTGCTCTTCAGAGTTTCTACTGACAAGAATTAATAAGGAGGTTTCAACCATTTCACAGGAAAAAGCACTTTAAAATATTACTGGAAGAGAATATATAATAAACAGATAAAGCATTTTTTAATGAATCCAATAGGTAATATTATATAATAGGAATGGAATTTGATTTAGGTCATACGTTTGACTGTGACGTTGAGGAAAGCACCCCAAATAGAGTGGCTTAGGTTTGAATTCTTACTTATCTATCACAATGACCTTGAAAAAAATTACCTAATCTTTGTGTTCTTGTGATAAATATAATAACTGATGTTCTCCTGGTCATATTGTAAGGACTATATATTGGTAGGTTTTTTTTTTTTCATCAAGTCATCATTCATACTGTAGCTGAGTACAAATCTAAGATTAAGAATAAAAATATTGTACTATAGTGGGACAGCCTGGGGGTTCAGTGCATTTGTTTCAGCTATTATGGCAATGGTCAATCTACCTAGCATAGAAGAGAAAACTCAAAAGAGAGAACAAAGTGTATTTTTTATTAGGACCAACTCCTCCCCTTTAAAAAGAGAAGCTTCTTAAGTATGATGCCAGCACTTCAGTGTTTGGGACTCTTACTGCTGGATTTCTCATGTTGGTACCTCATTAATTATTCCTGCTTTTGTCACAAGAACTTCCCTCTTGGTCGGCTCATGCAAGGGCAGAGAATTGACTGGATCCTTGTGCTCTGAAGAAGAATGGAATCTGGAAAAACAAGAATACTTTTATGAGAACGTCACCTTCCATGGACTATTGTGGCCTTGTTCATTTTTAAACCGGAGAATTCTTATCTCAAGGGTTCTGCCCGGAAATTTGTGTGACAATATGTATAACCTAGCATGCTGTGACACTTGTGTTTATTCAGTTAACATTATTGTTTGGAGCTGGAGGTGTCTTAACCTTCGCTTTGCATAATTCCTTCAATCTATAAATTGAAAGAATTCCTGAGAAGCTCAGACTAAGTCAAATCTCAGCCAGATCAAAATCCAGTGATACATGCATACTTTTAAAAACAGCATTTCTGTAAATATCTGAGATATGTCCATGTGAAGACATTCAAAACCAGAATAGTATATCTCTGGTTACCCAATTTTGGAAATAAGCGCATGTCCAATATTACTGCTTGATCTTATCAAAAGCATACTGGGAAATTTATGTAAATATTTGAATAACATCCTAAAGTATTAGGAAAAATAAATTATCCTAAGAAGTCCTATATAATTAAATATAAGACTATCTGACTTCCCACAGGGCAGGGAACCCTGATAGCTCTTTGGGCTGACGAGGGAGGGGGATTTGATTGGGGGAGGGGAAGGGAAATGGGAGGCGGTGGCAGGGAAGAGACCGAAATCTTTAATAAATAAATAAACGGAAAAAAAGACTATCTGAAGTGAAAAGACTACAGTTTTCTGATGTCATAAAATTACAAGAAGACACGATCTATAAAACGCATTTCTTTGTATGCTAACCTGAAAATTAATAAAGTAAAAAGACTGTTTCAGGAAGTATATCTCACCCGATAACAATAATCACAATGCATCATAGTTACATTCCATCAGAGAAAACTCCTCTTTTGTTTTCAGAGACTGAATTGGTTTTATGATAAATTGGCACAGCTCTGCCTGCAACTGCTCTGGATATGTATTCATACAACATTCCCCCAGATATGAGTCCTTCCAAGCCTTCTCTCTAAAGAGACAATGGCTCAAAACATGTAGAATAGCCTTTGCTTTGACCTTGTCACTTTCCTCGCCCTTCAAGCCAAAATTTGAAGTATACAAACACACACACACACACACACACACACACACACAAATCGTAAAACAAAACATTAGATTAAAATTTCTTTTTCAGTGACCACTTTTGCATCCCATGCTTGAAGGGGGTGATTGTTTTTACTGCCAGCAGTGGGGTACCCTCCCCAGTCTTGCTCACTGCCTAACTCCCTGCCTGAAAATTCTTGTTAACAGTTATAAGTAGATTATTTTTGGCTATTTTCCTTTTGATGTATTTTAGATTTTTATCCAGCTTTGAAGTAACTTGAATGAGACTTTCTAATACATTTAAAATCAATCCCAAGAGCAGAGGAACAGAAGCCAAGAGGGCAGCAGGGGGGTGCACCTGGACAAGGTGTATTGTGTACATGTATGAGAATGTCACGGTGGCACCTGGACAAGGTGTATTGTGTACATGTATGAGAATGTCACGGTGGCACCTGGACAAGGTGTATTGTGTACATGTATGAGAATGTCACGGTGGCACCTGGACAAGGTGTATTGTGTACATGTATGAGAATGTCACGGTGGCACCTGGACAAGGTGTATTGTGTACATGTATGAGAATGTCACGGTGGCACCTGGACAAGGTGTATTGTGTACATGTATGAGAATGTCACGGTGGCACCTGGACAAGGTGTATTGTGTACATGTATGAGAATGTCACGGTGGCACCTGGACAAGGTGTATTGTGTACATGTATGAGAATGTCACGGTGGCACCTGGACAAGGTGTATTATGTACATGTATGAGAATGTCATGGTGGCACCTGGACAAAATGTATTGCGTACATGTATGAGAATGTCACGGTGAAGCTCACTTGCATGCGCTAATGAAAAATGTTTAAAAAGTCGTTTCAAAAAAGGCATAAGTGAATGAAACTCCTTTTTAAATCCAAGTAAATAGTGATGCAAGGAGGATGAGAGAGTGAGGGAGGGCAAAGGAGGGTGAGGGAGAGTGAGGGAAGGTGAGGGAGGGTGAAGGAGGATGAGGGAGCATGAGGAAGGGTGAGGGAGGGTAAGAGAGGGTGAAGGAGGATGAGGGAGGATGAGGAAGGGTGAGGGAGGGTAAGGGAGGGTGAGAGAGAGGAGGAGAATCCAAAGATTTCAGGTCCTGTTCTTTTGGCAAAAAACCCCCAAAGATTAGAAAACATAAAGTTAAAAAATACAAGACTTTTTTTTTAAAAAAAGAAATAGGTTTTTTAAATCAGTTATTAAGGACTAAACAATTGAAAACATTCTGAAGTGTCAATAAGAAACACTGAATAGTTAGACAAGAGCCTAATTTAACGATTTTCAAAGGCAATAGAGACAATTCAGTCTCTTTGAGTCACTGGAAGGGATAAGGAAGTGACAGTTTACCTCCTCTAAAGAATGCCTTGTGCTCAATTTAAACCCGACTGTCCAACTGCACACACACACACGGTTCAGCTGCTTGCAAGGAATGCTATGTGGGTCTCTATTTACTAATTACGACAGGACTCAGCAAAAGATGAAGGTAATGAAACTGAAGGCAGCAGGATGAACAAGTTGAGAAGGACAAGGAAAAGAGTCACCAAGCCACATCTTTGCCCAGCGGATGGCGGGGAAATCACCATGGCCAGTTTCAACGGTATGTGTCTACTGTGACCTTCCATGAGTGGTGTGGCCAGTGGCCAGTTTCTATTTCATGTTCATTTCTATAAAACATTTCTCATCTTCAGGAGAAGCAAGAGGACAGCAAGATGCGAAGTATTGCTACATGAAGGATGGTAAATGTAGCTTATATTAACTGCATAGAAATAGCCAATCGGAGTATTTAGAATCCAAGAGAGGGGTGTAGGGTGGGAGATGCAAAGCAGAGTGGGAGAGAAGCTTTCTTCTGCACTGAGAAGGAATGTGAAGATTATGGCTAAGGACCTGCAAGACCGCAGGAAAGGTCTGGAGAGTTTCTATCTACAGGCTGAAATTCTAACAATACTCTAATAGATCTGAAATAGTGCTAAATGGAGGTCAGTATAAACAAGGTCACTCCTGGTGTTTCAAAGAAGAGGCAAAAGGAATTATTAGCTCATGGTAACAATAAAAAGCAGACTTTAACAGGTTTTATTATTGTTTTAATTTTTTTTTTTAATTTCAGACCATGTACTTCCTTACAGCCTGCATCTAGGACAGACCACACCTAGTGTCCTTGTTTGGCATGTCACTGTGTAGGAAATGGCATTTTTTCTAACATTTCTTTCCAAGCTGTGTTAAAGACAGTTGAAAACAATTCTAACATGTTTTGACATTTCCCATTATCACCATAGAAAGGTCTGGAAACCAAACATCAGATCTCAGCAAACCTGGCTCTTCTGAATCTTGTCCCTCCCACAATGACAAAGATGCCCCGGATCAGATGCCAGTGGTAAAACCATCACTTGCCAGCACCCCAGCCAGTGTTCCTGATGCCGAGTTCAACTCCAATGCTGGTAAGCCGTTACCTGGAAGGATTCTGGAGGGAACAGGGAAGGGTTTCTAGCCACTGTTTCCAAGTCTACCTTTGCAGTCAAGATGATGTGCTGATGGTGAAAATGACAGCCCAAGTCAGGACAGAGGATTTCTATTTTTAAAGTTTTATTTTATATATTTTAATTTTTTAAAAAAGAAAACAAACTATATTTTTTTCATTTTACACACCAATCCCAGTTCTCACTTCCTCCCCTCCTCCCAGTCTCTCCACTTACCTCCCCACCCGGCCCCTCCATCCACTCCTTAGAGAGGGTAAGGCACATTTCTTTGGGGGAAGGTTCCAAGCCCTCCCTACTATATATAGGCAGAGCAAAGTATCCATCCAAATAGAACAGGTTCCAAAAAAGCCAGTACAAGCAGTAGGGATAAATCCTGGTGCCACTGCCAGTGGATCCGCAGTCTGCCCCAGCCATACAACTGTCACCCACATTCAGAGGGACTAGTTTGGACCTATGCTGTTTCCTTCCCTGTCCAGCTGGAGTTGGACATTAGCTCAGCTCCCATTAGCTCAGGTAGACTGTTTCAGTGGGTGTATCCATCATGGTCTTGACTTCTTTGCTTATATTCTCACTCCTCCCACTCTTCAACTGGACTTCAGGAACTCAGAACAGTGTTCCAATGCGGGTCTCTGCCTCTGTTTCTTTCAGTTGCTGTATGAAGGTTCTATGGTGATATTTAAGATATTCATCAATCTGACTACAGGGCAAGGCCAGTTCGGTCACCCTCTCCTCTATTGCTTAGGGTCTTAGTTGGGGTCATCCTTGTGGATTACTGGGAATTTCTCTAGTGCCAGGTTTTTTTTTTTTTTTGCTAGCCCCACAATGGCTCCCTCAATCAAAATATCTTGTTCCTTGCTCTCCATCTCTGTCCTTTCTCCATCTCGACTATCCTGTTCCCTCAAATTCTCCTCCTCCCTCCCTTTCTCCCCTCCTCTTCCTCTTCTGTCCTCCCTACTCCTACTCCATACCCCCATGTTTCTGTCAGGCAATCTTGTCTGTTCCCTCTTTCCAGGTGAATCTATGTATGTCTTCCTTAGGGTTCACTTTGTTACTTAGCTTCTCTAGGATCATGAACTATAGGCTCAATAGCTTTTGCTTTACCATAGTATCCACTTATGAGTGAGTACATACCATGTCCATCTTTCTGGGTCTGGGTTACCTCTCTCAGGATGTTTTTTCTAGTTCCAATCACTTGCATGAAAATTTCAAGATGTTATTGTTTTCTACTGCTGAAAAATCCAACACCCCTTTATGATAAAGGTCTTGGAGAAATCAGGGATATAAGGAATATATCTAAGCATAATAAAAGCAATATGTGGCAAGATGACAGCCAACATCAAATTAAATAGAGAGAAATTCAAAGTGATCCCACTAAAATCTGGAACAAGTCAAGGATGTTCACTCTCTTCATATCTATCCAACATAGTTCTTGACGTTCTGGCTAGAACAATAAGACAACAAAAGAGATCAAGGGGATTCAAATTGGAAAGGAAGAAGTCAAATTTTTGTTATTTGCAAATGATATTATAGTATATATGTGAACTTCTACAGCTGATAAATACCTTCAGTAATGTGGCAGGATACAAGACAAGAGGATTTCTACATCTGAGTTTACAAAGCTCTCTGCAGACTCATTACCCTTTATGCTACAGATCTAGAAAATTAGGGGATTGTCATGGGAGAGCACTTAAGTCTTCTTTAAACTTGAAATTCTGTCATTCAAAGTCTCTGAATTTCTGGATAATAATTATTCTGGTGCATGAGCGTGTTGTTTAACGGCCTCTTGGATACAAGAGATAGAAACTGGTTAAAAAGAAGTATTTCTTGTGTGAGAAAACCTGTAAAGAAAAGGTTAAAGAAGCAGGGTTTGGAGAAGTAGGAACACAATGGGGTATAAAATTAGAGAAACGGGGTATAACATATTGATCTCACTTCTGATGACAATTATCAGTGGTAGAGTTTTTCATGATTAACTTTAGGGTTCTTTAAGCTCATCTACTAAGAGGACAAATAGAAACCATGAAAACTGTTATATTCACAGCCACACTCTTTTATAACATAAAAACTTTTATAACACAAAGGACTAAAACCATCTGTGAGATAAACTCTAGGTGCTAAACATGGCTATCGGTTCGTTCTCTTCCAGCGGGAGCAGACATAACACCATCACTGGTCAATGTGTTTGGCTGACTAGGGAAACTCATTTTAGTATCAATATCTAAGGACTTTGGAACATGGTGTACCTGCCATGTGACTGAACTCTGTTTCCAGTCCTTCTGAGGGCTAAGTTGGGCTGTGTACGAAGTCATCATCACACATGATGCTATTTGACTTCCTGGCATGAAACACAAACAATTTCTAGAGAAGTACATAAATTAACGATAGGTGGATCCTTCTGTGAACTGTGGAGTGAAGGGAGCTCCTGGGGTACAAGCCCACAGTTCAGACTGCTCTTCACCCCTCCCGTCTCCCATCTTTATTGCTCACAGAACCTAAGAGGGAATGAGCATGATGAGGGTCCATCTGTATTATTGCCTTTTGTTAGCATCACTCATGATCCCAAACAGCATTATTCCAAACCACAGATTCACATCCAATTTCATTTAAGATGTGGAAAGAACCCAGGTCCTTGTTAGGTTGCTTCCCCGTAAAATGGGGTTCCTTCCTCTCAGAAGAGTTTCTCTGGTTTTACATCTGAGGGAGCAGCAATGGCCTGGATGCTTCGTCTGTTTGGAAGTGGTCTGAGTTTCCCTTTGTTCCCACGTCCAATTTACCATCTAATTTACCTTCGGCTGGAGAAAGTTCTCAAGCTTCTAACAGCTTGCCTTGATAGTGCTAAATATATTTCCCCGTCTTAAGGACAACAACTCTTTGTCACAGCAATTTTCACCCCTCATGTTCTCTGTGCCTTGTTTTGTGCACTCTATGGAGCGAGGAAAATTCATTTTGCCATCTTTGCATACTAGGAACAGATACTACCAATGACAGAGTGGAGGGCTGGAGTAAGAACATGAGGTGTGCAACAAATTCTAGCTCATTGGCCAGATTCAGCTTAATGGATGCTTTTTGCAAATACATGTTGCCCGTGGCTGCTTTTGTTGGTAAGACTAATAAAGCATGTTGACCTTGTTGCCTATATGACGCATGCTTTATATGTTTTTGCATATTTTAATTTTTATGCTCTAGTTTCAGACAGAGAAATAAAGATGGAATTTAGCCATTTGAATCTTAAACCGAAACCCACTGAGCTTCTCACTCTCTCTGTATGTAGCTGTGACTAGGAGTGTGGGCACCATTATTGAACAGGATGGATTAAGCTTTTACAGCCTGTAATTCCAAACAAATCACCAGTATATCACATAAAAATAAATGTGAAAACCATTCCCTCAAATAAGTACAGGCAATTTTGATAAGTCATTTTTTTTCAACTGCTTTGAGATTTTTCCAAAAATAACTCAGTTTTTAAAGACTACCTTCTTCGCTCCCATGTTGTTTGGCCACCTATTTATCTCCTCGCCTTTTCTATGGCTTGCACCTGGTTAGTGTGCTAACCTGAACTCTGCAGCACTGTTTGTGGCTGACACTGTGCCTGGATGACGGGGCTTCATCACCCTAACTAGCTATTCTCATGGCAGTCATGCACGTGGCATCCACATGATTGAAGGCCCATGGGCTCCAGGTAGGGTGGGCAGAATCCCGGGAACAAGCTGTCCGTGTTACAGAGTGCATTTTATAGGCATTTGTCCCCATTTCTGAATTTGTATTTCTGTTTTGTTTAAATAAATAATAATCATTTTTCTTGCTATATTACTACTAGTGTGTGTTATATGATATGTGTGTTCACTTAGGTTCGTGGAACACATGTGGAGGTCAGAGGACAGCTTTTGGGAGTCAGTTCTCTCCTTCTATCCTGGGGGTAGAGGGATCAAACTCCTAAAATCATGCTGTACTGCAAGCACCTTTACCTGCCGAGCCATCCCGGAATCTGGTATTTCTGGAAGCCCTCTTATAAGCCACGGTAGCTTTCTTGGGAAGTGACTATGTCCTCATCATCTCCGAATGCAGATGACACTTTTCCAAGGCCTTTGAGATGCTCTTGAGCTTTGAGGTTTCCTTTCTTTAATTTTCTTTTTCTATTTCTCCTCCAAACAAAGCACTAGAACTTCCTCTATAAAAGTGCATTGATGTAATTTATTAGTCCTCTGAGGGGATAGGATAGGAGAACACCTTCCAGAAATCACACTGGAAGAAAAACAAATGAGCCCCTGAACTGGTAATTATCTGCCCGCTATTCATCATGCACAGCTGAGAAAGACTGACCGAAAGGCTTAATTGGAAGTAACAAATATGATTTATTTGAAGGGAAGAAATTCAGACTAGGATGCAGCAAGATGAGGTGTTGCTTTGAAAATGAAATTAGGTTAGATCAGGCTCTCTTCTTTTGTGAAAGAAGTGACCTTTTAAATGAAAAAAAATTGCTACTAACGCTATACATTCTAAAATATATGATGTCAGTTTTTACTTAATAATTATACAAGGTCGTCTCATGCAGGATGTATTTATTAATTTATTCATTCATGCGTATGCTCAGCCACTAAAGGCGTATTTACTCAATGCCTGTTGTGGCTGACATCTCTATAGGTACCGAAGCTGTAGCAGCAGGCGGAACTATGTCCCGCTCTCGTGGAAGATATGCAGAAGAATAATATCTAGACAGCAAACAGGTGACTCTGAAACATGGCAAGAAGGGTGCTAAAGAACATGGAAAGGGGATAATACACTTAGTTGGAATATACCTCTCTAAAATTCTCATAGGTCTAACCCTCAGCACCTGAGACTCCATTTGTAGTCAGGATCTTTAAAAAGGCAATTGAGGTACAATGCACCCCGTGTCACTGCTGTACTCATAAGGAGATGTTAAGGCAGGGACTCAAACAGAGAATATCACTGGGAGATTTTGAAGACAATAATCAACTCAAGGTCACAGAGAGAAGCCTCCGAAGAAACATCCCCCAATTATCTTTGATCTGGGACTTCTAGTCTTCAGGTGAAACGATATAGATTTCTATTAAGCCACTTCATCTTAAGCACCAGTTATGACTGCCCTAGAACATGAAGGCACGTGATCATTGTTCAGCCTCCGCTCAGCATGGATGGGCTCCCCATGGATCTGGGGTTGACCTGTCTACAGTGCGGTCATGTTTCATGACTATTCCAGATGACTATGCGTTAGTCTTTGCAGTTCCCCCATCTCACCAAGCTACCTCACCTTTCTCTCGGATGGCATGTTTAATGCCTATAGTTTCCCCATATTGTAATTTAAGGTATTTTTGAGGGCAGGGTTCTTTCTGACTACATCTTAGATATAGAACCAGTTTGAGAAGTAGGTGGTGATGAAATACCTACCTTGAGTGGTTGCCTGTAAGTGTATGAATATTTTTTCATTGTAAAACAAAAGTGGGACCATTTAGAGGGAAGGAAGGGGATTAGGCAGACAGAGGAAGAAGTCAGTGAACAGAGCAAAGGACAATGACACGTATGACTAAAAAAAGTCACAATGAGCTGGGCAGTGGTGGCCCACACCTTTAATGTCAGTGCTTGGGAGGTAGAGGCAGTTGGATCTCTGAGTTCAAGGCCAGTCTTTCCAGGATAACCAGGGCTGTATAGAGAAACCCTGTCTAAAGAAAAAAAGTCACAATGAAACCTGTTAGCTTGTATGCTTAGAAATTAAAAACGAAAGTCAAGGAAAACATATAAAGCAATACATTATTTTAGGACATATAGAAGATACAGATAGGGCTGGAGAGATGGCTCAGTGGTTAAGAGCATTGCGTGCTCTTCCAAAGGTCCTGAGTTCAATTCCCAGCAACCACATGGTGGCTCACAACCATCTGTAAAGAGGTCTGGCGCCCTCTACAGGCATACAGACAGACTATTGTATACATAATAAATAAATAAATAAATAAATATTAAAAAANCATACAGACAGAATATTGTATACATAATAAATAAATAAATAAATAAATAAATAAATAAATAAATAAATAAATATTAAAAAAAAGAAGATACAGATAAGGAGAATAGCCAGTAAGGCTTCCTGCCACCCCATCACTGGTGCGACAATGGAATAACCTCTTTTCTCTTGCAGAAGAAGAGTCTGGTTGGCAGCATATATAGAGTTTATGAGGTCTGCAATACTGGCTATTCGAACACCTTCATATTGCAAATTGCCTATGAGTTTTATATAAGCAGCTTTATTCAACTTTGGCTAAACACCCAATGTTTCAGAGTAAGGTGAGAACACCCCAGCTGCTAATTAAGCCTATAGCATTCTAATTGCTACAGCTTAATTGTTTGTATTAAACGGAAGGCAGTTACAAACCCTCATGAGTCCCAGAGTAGTCAGTCGTATCAGTGACAGGACATTTTATCTAATAGATGTGCATAGGCAGAACCAGTAATTTGTTTTCCTCATGCTTCGTGTATTTCAAATCTGTTCAATCTGTGTTTTTCCACTGTCAATCTTTATGCTTATTTTAAAGCCTAATGATATCTTGAAAACTGATACCCAGTTATCACTTAAAAATTATAGCTGTTTGATGTAAGTGGTGTGACAGATTGATGGGTGTTCATATGCGGGCACGATCACGGGACTATTTACTGGAGTTGGTGTAATTAGGCTCATACCTTGTGTGTTTAAGTAGCACTTACGTGGTGCTTATTGTCTCACAGTACTGTTAAATACCTTGTTTAATCCTCATAACAAGCCCACAAAGTCGGTAATATTTTAACAGTGGAGAAGCAGAGACACGGAGAGGGTGGGAAGGTTGCCAGGCCTCAAAGGAAGGATGTGGGGGTCTTGATTTGTGCTGGGTCTCTGTGTTCTGTCACCCTCCCCCAAAATCCTGATGGTGGCATTTATAATGCATACTGTGGGCCCAGCCATTCCATCTGTGGGCTATCGTCCATTCATGCCCTGTTAACAAGACACCTACGGGGAACCCAGAAAACTAGATTCTAGCCTCCGTATTGACAGTGTTGTGTGTGTGTATGTGTGCATGTAGTGTGGTGTGTGTGTGTGTGTGTGTGTGTGTGTGTGTGTGTGTGAGAGAGAGAGAGAGAGAGAGAGAGAGAGAGAGAGAGAGAGAGAGAGAGAGA